ATGGTTGGTGGCAGGCTGACCAAATTAATTTGTCAACTGAACATGATTAGATAGTGTAGATAATTGTTATAGTCAAATACAAACTTGCATTCAAAGTCTTCTGCCGTTAAATATTGTCAGCTACATGTAAGTTCTAGCATTTATACACTAATTTTGTTTGCACAAATTAATATTATTTGATCCTCAGATGAAGAGCATCTTTGTTCACCAGCTGCTGAGCAACAAAAGGGTTCGATCAATGCGTACAATCAGGGAACAAGAAACATATCTCTTCATCAAAAGGATACAAGCTCAACCTCCCAGCCACCCGGTCAACCTAACCGAGATGTTCTCCGAGTTCGCATACAACGGGATTTACAAGTCCACTTTTGGCTGGAAACAGGGCTGGTCGGACAATGGGCGAGTTTTTTCAGCGCTGATGACGGAATTTATGGACGTGTTGGGGACTATCAGCATAGGAGATTTCGTCCCGTGGCTTTCTTGGGTCACGCGCGTAAATGGTTTTGACAAGAGAGTGGACGCAGTCTTCAAGAGGCTTGATGGTTTCTTGGAGGAAGTTATTGAGGAACACTTAAAAGGGGATAATGATTGTGATCTCTCGGACGAAAATGGAGAAAGCTTTGTCGATATTTTGATTCATTACTTGAAAGAAAACACCAATTGCGGTGGTTCGATTGATAGAGATGCCATCAAGGCATTGATTCTGGTACGTTTTCTGTACTCAAATGAGTATGGTTTGGTAGGTATGAAACTTTTTTTTTTTTTAAAAAAAAAGATAGAGTTTATCTAATAAGTTTCCTAAAAGTAGCTTTTCGAAAAAGCCTCTGGCTTATTATATACTTTTATTACTATCAGCTAGCTTTTCAGTCACTAGTCATAAGCTATCACTTATAAATTCGAAATTCACTTATAATAAGTTACTAGCTAGCTTTACCAAACATAGTTGGTTTACATTTAGTCAGGATGTGTTTCATATTTACTTTCCATCATTCGACAGGATGTGTTTTCGGCTGGGACAGATACCATTTCGGCAGTCCTCGAATGGATAATGGTCGAGCTACTACGACACCCTAAGGTCATGGAAAGACTGATGACCCAAGTGCGACAAACCATAAAACATAACATAATAACGGACGATGATTTGAGAGAAATGCATTACTTAAAAGCGGTGATCAAGGAAAGCCTTCGTTTCCACCCGCCAAAGCCGTTGCTAGTCCCTAGAGTTGCACGGGAAGATGTGAAGGTCAAAGGGTACAAAGTCAAAGCAGGAACAATCGTGATGACCAATGTGTGGGCCATAGGCATGGACCCGACATGTTGGGTCGAGCCCGAGAAGTTTGAGCCAGAGAGGTTTTTGGGCTCGAAGATTGACTTCAGGGGACTGGATTTTGAGCTGATACCATTTGGGGCCGGGAGGAGGGGTTGTCCCGGGATTACGTTTTCTATGGCTGCTGTCGAGTTGGTGGTGGCGAACATTATCGACAAGTTCGATTGGGAGTTGGCCCGTGGGGAAGATATGGACACGAGGGAGCGGTTTGGAGGTACGGTTCGGAGGGCCAAACCTTTGTTGGCAGTTGCAACTCAAGTTATTACTAAATAAATATTCAAGAATGAATTAACTAACGAAAAATATATAACAAAAATGAAAAAGCAACATTTTCATAATTAAAGAAACAATATTTTTCTGAAGTTAACTTTTAAATTCAACCTTTGGTGTTCTTTTTTTCCCGACATGTCTTGAGCTGGTCAGCTAAATAGGAACCAAATCGACGTGATTTGGTTATTTCGGTTTTCAAGCCACTAAAAATGGACTGAGTTTTTTTTTTTCGAAACGATAGATAATCTCATTACTAAAAAAAGATAGTACAATGTTAAGCTCTGATGTATAATTAGAATTTTTCTGTAATTTTTTGAGTTATTATTAATGGAGGATTGATAGAAATGGAGGAAGATGATGATAGAGAGAGAAAGAGAGGAATTAGAGAGAAAGAGAGGATTTTAATCTGCCAAAATCCGACAATTCTGTTCATTCTCCCCCTTTTAACCAACATGCGGTCCCACAATTTTAACAAATCATTACAGCAAATGGGCTAAAACATCAATTGGCCCAACACTTAATTAAAAATAACAACTTAACTAACAATTTACTAGCCCAACTAAGATAAAAGTTCTGTAGCCCACCAAGATATCACTTAGGCCCAAAATCGCCCACTTCATCGTCTTCTTCCTCGGGATTCACGATAAGCCCTAATTTCTGTATCTCAGATCCAATCGCCCCTTTCATTTCCACAGTTTCTTCATTTTCGATCAAACCTTGCTTGCCCTCCACAAAGCCAATCGCTTTATCACTCAAAGTTGTTCCTTTTTTGTCACCGGCAGTTGGGTATATGACATTACCCCCGCCATTTTTAGATCCTTGACCACAAGGAGCAAGGTTTGGAAAGCAACGGCGAAGAAAAGTCGCATCTTCCCATGTCTGAAGCTGAGGATGTGTATCATGCCAAAGGACCAAAACCTGAGGTAATTCCTTTCCACTGCGCAAGACCGTTCTTTTACCAGTAATAGCAATGGGTGAAGCACGAATAACCCCCTCGTCATTTGTATCAGGAAGCTGGAGTGAAGCTTGAGTAAGAGGATTCAATCGCCGCTTGAGGAGAGAGCAATGAAAGACCGGGTGGATCTTGGAGTCAGGAGGAAGAGCCAATCGGTAAGATACTGGGCCAATCTTTTCTAGGATAGTATAAGGGCCATAAAATTTAGCCGAGAACTTGACATTCCTCCTCAAAGCAACTGAATTTTGCCTGTAGGGCTGGAGTTTTAAAAATACCTGTTCTCCCACTTGAAATTGTGTATCTTCCCTTTTTGAGTCAGCATAAAATTTCATGCGTGCTTGTGCCTGCTGCAAATTCATTTTTAGTTGTTGAGCTTGCATTTGTCTTTCATGTAAAAGTTCTGTGACATCAGTTTGGGTAGAGTCAAGATAGGGAACCATAGAGAAACTTTGAGGTGGGTAGCCATATAAAGCCTGAAATGGGGTCATTTTGAGACTAGTGTGGAAATTGGTGTTGTACCAATATTCTGCAAGAGGCAACCATTTCAGCCATTGCCTGGGATTGGTATGAACCATGCTTCTGAGGTAGTTCTCAAGGCATTGGTTCAGCCTCTCTGATTGCCCATCTGATTGAGGGTGATATGAAGAAGACATATTGAGTTGGACCCCTAGTAGTTTAAAGAGCTCTTTCCAAAATGCACTGGTGAACACTTTGTCTCGATCTGAGACAATACTCACTGGGAGACCATGTAATTTGTAAATTGAATCTAGGAATAACTTAGCC